TTATACTCTTTAGTTTTAGAAAGATATGTATTTGTGAGTTCAAGGTTTTCAAGGGATCTATTGTATACATCTATTTTTGTTGTTAAGTTACTGATCCTATATTATTTCTATCCTTATATCCATTTTATGATGTTCTAAGGTATGGGTTGGCTTACCTAGTGGTAGGTTATAGTAGATTCCATCATGACTCGAGAAATTTAGTCCTGACAAGTTGGTATCAGAGACCCAGGTTTACTGGTCTAACTTCTACAGAGATAATACCTAATAAAGTCCTACAAATCAGTGCAAAAATATAAATATCCTATCTTTGGGAGGCTATAGGGTTTAATTAGAATGATCTCTCTTTAATATTGCTTTCGTGCAATGTGTATGTATATGTGAATTGATTTTATGTGAAGTATATGAATAGCCCTCTAAATGGTCTATTACAATAAAATACATGAAACATGAAGATACTTGTCATGAATCTTGAAGACATATCACTATCTTTGAAGAATCTCAATCTAAGATTTAAATAAGAAAACTCAATCACTTGCCGGAACCTACACTTGTAAAATAAGAGAAAATATGGGTTAGCATAATTAAGTACTAATAGTCATGCAAAAACATTCTTCAAACGGACATTTTATTTGAAAGCCATGCATATGCCAATTTTGATAAAAACTTCATAACATATGTATTAGAGGAATAATATACAAACATAACCAAATAGACAAGTCATTTCTTCACATTTGAACATATTAAACATATAAGTCATCTCATTACCTTAAAGCCTTCACTTCAACCTATACCACCATCCACACTAAGTACCACCTTAAGGCAACAAAAGTTGAACTTACCATCCTTTCTTTCCATCTTAAACAATATTCATACATAAGAGACATAAACATTTGATAAGTCATATAAACACATTAGGACCATAATCTAGGGCAACCATAATTTATATTATGAACTGTATAAGTAACATCAATATTACTACTCACACTAAGTACTCTTTTGAAGTCATCAAATACATAGCAGATTCATATTATATAAGTCATGACAAGGAAGTAACTCATAATTCATGCAATTAAATCATGCATAATTACATTAAGTCGACATTCTTCATTATATTAATTTAAAGCACTTTCATTCTTTAAAATCACATTCATTCATAGGTCATTCAGACCTTAGAGAACTTATTATAGCCCTCTCAAATCCTACTCGTGCAATGCATGGATGACATCCCATACTACCACCTACACTTCATAGAACTTCTCAAAAAATCATAATTCACATCCGACATGATGGGAATAAGAGTTTAACAAAAATAGACCATAAGATCGATATCGTGGAAGTCGGTTTCATAAAACCACACACCGTAAAGAGGTGGTCTACTTGCCTAAGGTAAGACCAGTAAATTTAGCTTAGATGGATCCACTAGCTAGACCTATATAGGCACATAGTTATGAGATAGAAATACATTGATTGGAACCCTAGCCTAATGTTTTGACAGTCTCCATCTTACCATATCTACTCGGTGCTAAGCCTACATTGCCATAGAATATTCATTCGCATTACAGTATTGTACTTGAGAGTAATGCGATAAGCCTAATGAATCAATGTACATCATAACACATGAAAGGAATGAAATAATCCTATAGATTCACGGTTCATTATTAGGATAGCTCATGAATCCTTATGAAAGGAACGTCATAAGCCTATCAATTCAAAGATCATATGATCATATTTCTATACTCATAAAGGGGATGTCATAACCCTAGCGATTCATGGTACATTATCACATCATTATACACATGAAAGGAATGCCAAAGTCTATTAATTCATGTTACATTTGTCATTGACTCATTATGAAAGGAATGCCCTAGGCCTATTGATTCAAGATTCGTTATTACATTAGGTCATTTATGAATAGAATGTCATTGGCCTAACGATTCATATTCATCATTAAATCATTTAGGAAAGGAATGTCATTGGCTTATGAATTCATATTCATCAAGTCACATACATTAGCAACACAAGAAAAGGATTCCTAAGACAACGAATAAGGTATTTTTATTACCAATACATTCATTCATTCAACAAAAGTATGCCTAGACCTACCAATTCAATATACATTCATCAATATTACTTTAATTTATACAAGAATAGGGGTGCATTATCCAACCAATTCAAAGTGTACAATACATGGATGAAACCCTTCACGTTACATCATCAACGTTCATGAGTGTTAATTGAGAATCATGCTTCAATCATAGTACAATTACATTCTAAACATAATCAATATACTTTCATTAAGCTCACGTGTATATATTTCTCATCACAATCATACATAAAAGCTTCATACTTTTCCTTTCAAGGCCATGATCACAAGTTACCAACAAACCCTAGAATACTACAATTACATATGAGTAGTGACACGATTTAATAACTAGATCAATATAATACTTGAACAATTCATTGTACTTTATAATTCAATCAATTCCCAATCACAATTCGCAACTTTATAATTTAGGGGGAAACATGGGTTCATAATATAAATCATCTTAATTCATCATTAAACCATCATACTATTCATAATTCATCATATAAGAACTTTAAACTTATTTTGGAATTTAACCCATGCATCGATTGAAAACTAGTTTTTCGGTGGAACATAGGATAATTGAAATCGTCTTTGAAATTGGATCCTTGAAAGAAACCAAGTCAAGGATTAATACTACCAAACCTTTTGAAGAAGAAATCCACTCATGGATAAACATTTTATTTGAGATAATAAGAAAATGTGATGTTTGATCTCCATATAGAGAGTGTACTTATAGTGATAATGTCACGCCCTGAGCATAAAGTGATCCCTTGGCATGACAATACTTAATCAAACACTAACTCAAGCAGATTTAAGTTATAATACTTGGATTTAAAATTTAAACCATTAAAACTTCTTAAGATTCAAACAATCTCAAAATAGTATACACAAAAAATGTCTTAAAGTACTCTGAAAACAATAACAGTTTGCAAAATAGTTCAAAAGGAAATACTGAAAGAAAATCAACACTAGCTATATGTAACATCTCGTAACTTGAAACAACTAAATTTAATCTAAGAGACCAATAATAATAATTTTTTTAAACAAATAGGGAAATATGGAAAATTTCCAGATTTAAAAGTGAGTTTTTGTCATTTTCAAATGGTCATAACTTCTAGTTAAAGAGGAGTTAGGGTGAGTTCTTTATGTTTTCGGAAGTTGGGTTGTTGAACAGAGAGAAGTTCAATCCCGATTTGTTAAAGGTGTTTTTGTCTTTTCCTTACCCAATTATTTAATTTCATTTGTGGGTAATGAGTTGGGGTCCAAGATGATCCCATTCAGTTTATGCATTTTGAAAATAAGTTAGGGTATTGAGAGAAGATAAAAGAAGAGGATAAAAGAGGAGAAAGAAGGAGAAGAAGAAAGAACGCCAAGAATCGTTGCGTGGATTTCGTCGGGGGCGATCCCTTTAAGGTATGTGGAATATTTTGTGTTGGGTTACTTCACCCACACAACAATTTATTTCAATTCAACAAATTTATGGGTTTACTTCATGGTAGAAGTTAAGATCTTGAAAGAAAGTAATCAATTTCTTGTTGATTGGATTGTCGGCTGCCATTGTTTCTTCTAGTTATTTTGAGTGGAATTCAGTATATTTTTATAGTATTAAGGGTTCCCAGTGTTTAACGAAGAATTAGGATGTTTTGAAGAGTTTGGAGATGGAAAACGAGTTGAAAAATTCGTTAGATGCACCTGGGTAGGGGCAGGCATGGAGCGCCTGCAGTACGCCAGAATTTGGCCTCAGTCAACAAAGGACTGGCGCGGTATGCCATCAATGTGCCAGAACCAAGCCTAAGTCAACTGAGGTTGGCGTGGCGCGCCACCAATACTCCCAACCCGGCATTTTTCGTCCAGTTTTTTTAGTTTAGCCCTTTTATGCCCTTCCAAGGTACATTAACGCCTTCCAACGATTATAATTACATGAAATGACTTCTAAATACATATAAATCATCAAAGAACTTAATTCGAAACCTTGAATCCATAATCTATTCAAGGAAAGTTAAAACCAAAGTCAAGAGAGCTAAGAAGTTAAGTCTATGAAGTAAAGTTTTTTAAAGTTTCCAAGGGTCTTGTCTAAACATTTAACTTTGTTTCTCGGTTCAAGTTTCGAATTAAAGGAAGAGTTTCTTCTTTCACAAAAGTTTTCACTTTGTTTTAAAACTTAAAGTTCAGGTTGAGTAGAGAGTAAAGTTGAGTTCATTCCTCAAGATTTATATAGGGAACTAAGTAGTCCCTCAGAGCTTAAACTAAAAGGTTTTCAAACTTTTTAGAAAGAAAGGAAGCTAGACTTCCACAGATCCCATGGCTAGTTTTAATAGAAGAAAGGGTAAATTATAATTTCCAAGATTGCTTTTTAAAAGCTATGTTTTGAGCATTAATATCAAATCACAGAATCAGTATGTTTTGAAAACATAAGAGCTAGTATATGTATATATATATATATATATATATATATATATATATATATGTATATATGCATATATACTGAGAGTAGTATTTAGCACCGATGTGAGGATGCGAGTTCAGATTAACTCAAGTGTCCATGTAAACCATGTAGCCATCATAGGTTACTAGGCAATTCAGGTTCTACACTCTGGCAAACTTAGGATGGTCGGGCAGCGTGGGCCGAGTAACATTGCATCATCACTGTATCTCTTAGTGATGGTTGTCGATAAGAGAATCTCCCACAACAATATTGTATTTTCATATACATCAATAATTGTATTTTTATATACATCTCACATATTATAGTATTCTTGTATACATTCAGAGTTTTCAACATGTTTTCATATTTATATTTCAATTTCTTTTAATTGTGTATATTGAATAAGAGTTAGTAGATCATGAGTTGAGAAAAGTGAAGGTAAGTATTCATTCTTACTCCTTTTCAAGCTTAAGTGTTGTTTAGCTTTACAACTTGCATACTCGTACATTCAATGTACTGATTCCAGTTTGCCTGCATCGTATCATGATGCAGACGCAGATAACGATGACCGACATCCAGCGCACCATTGATGCAGTTGAGCACTCCAGATTCAATTGGTGAACCTCCTTGCATTCTGGGGGACATCTCTTTATTGCTTTCTAGATTAGTTCAATAGAATGTTGTGGGGTTTGTCCCAACATTCATCTCAATCAGTTTAAAGGCTTCATAGAAATTTAGTAGTCCAGTAATATTTACTTTTCATTCTCATGTTAAAGACTTGGTTGCCATTTTGGCCAGTTTGAATGTTTAAACTTTTAAAACATTCCAGACAATATTATTGTTCAGTTAAGTTAAGTTCTTTCATTCTTAAAAGTATGATTGTTGTATTCCGCTGAGTTAAGTAAGTCAAGTCAAGGGTTTGCTCGAGACCAAAAATGGTCACTGAGTGTGAGTCCCACCAAGGGTGTAGGCTCGGGGCGTGACCCTATCTATGAAGCCTCTATAGTTCAGAAGGAATGTCAGGAGAAGATCTATGACACGTCCAAGGTACAAACTGAATTACAAAAGTGAATTCCTCTAGAATATAAGGAAGTCTCACCAAACTAGGAATAAATGCAAAGTGATCTCAATGAAGGGCTTGTTGATGATCCTAGTTAATTGTATACACATCATGAAAACATGAAAGTCAAATTACATTGCTAGATTGAATGTGTGAGTATGTAATAAATCTGAGGAAAACAAATAATTGAACTGAAGAAGTTGAAGAAAAATACTCAACTAAATGTAAAGAATAAGTAGAGATAAAATCATTTCAAAGATTTACAAGTAAATATACTAAATCAATGTACTATACTAATATAAAATTTGATAATGAAATACTCTTATTAATCTCACGAACAACCATCTCTATAAGCTTTGTGATGCTATATTAACTCGTCCACGTTGTCAGAACTATCATGTTCTTTTTCAAGATATAGAACATACTTAACCCACAGAATCATCTAATAGGTCTTCTTAAAGGGATTAAGGAGTAGCCAATATGACGGTAAGATACTATCCCACAATGGCTACATGGTTTACAAGAATTGTGAGTTGTTGAGCTCTTATCCAAATCGGTGTTCAGTACTACCCCTAAAATATATAAACTTAACGCTCAAGGAAAAATACACTCTGGATTGAGAATAATCTCAAAAAGGCTTCTTTAAGAGGCAATTACTCTATACTCAATTTCTTGTAAGGGCTTCTTTAAGAGGCAACTACTCTATACTCAATTTCTTGTAAGGGTTTATTTAAGAGGCAACTACTCTATACTCAATTTCTTGTAAACTCTAAAAACTCTTTGTATCATTCTGAAAAATAGTACTCTCCTTTTAACATAAAATGAAACATTCGGAATCCTTTCGTTCCCTTAAACTATTCTCAAAATAGAATTTTAAAATTTAACTTTCTCTTAAACTCATTGTAACCTCTCAAAAGTCAATTCAAGAAAGAATACTCCTTTTAACAATTCTCAATAATAAAAAACAAAAAAGCAGAAATTAGGTATCATGTGGGATTGTCAACATGAATAATAACTCAATAATCTTCAAGCATAATATAGTGCAACTTATAATCAATAGTTTAGAATTCATAAATAGTAACTCAACTCATATAAGAGATTCTTGAAGCAATGGTTATAACAATAGATTTCAGTCGTAGTGATGAAATTTTAATGTAGGACATTCAAACGAACTCGTTCCATCACTATGAATAACCTTACATACCTAAGAGAACAAAGTGCTTGACGAAATTCAAATATTGGCTTGAAAACCCTAGATTACTCCTCTCGGATCCTTGCTCTAAGACAAGGAAGTGTATAATGAATGTAATGAGGTTGATTAGCACTGCCTAAACCCATAATGATGTGAAAAACTGCGTTTTGGTTTAAAATATAACTTGACATAAAGGAAAAATATAACTTAGTTTCTATGGCTCCCTTACTAGGGCTAGTAGAACTTCTTATGGTCCATAGGTGGGTTCGGTAGAACCGTTCAGCAAAATTTTCTTTAACTTTTATTTCCAAGTTCCAAGGTGTTACAATATCTGAATCTTGGGAATATTCATCTTCCAATGAGATCAAACCAAGCAAGAAATTGGTGGGGGAAGGTTTATAGACCCAAAATAATGTGTAAATACACATAAAACTCATGAACTCAACATGTTAAACAAAGGGTACTTTTGGAAGAGTTTGTTACTTGGATTGAAATTGAATTTGGGGGACATAGATGAGGGCATCTAGCTGATATATCGTCATGACAAGTTGCTTCCTCAATATACTTATTTCTCCACAAAATTTTGGCTAATGCAACCTCTTTTGTTCTTGACTTGTAATCAATCAATATATATTCTTGGGATTAAGAAACCGTAATAATTATACTTAAATAAGTGATTGCCATCTTTGTTTTATCTTGATGAAATTAATAGATATGTTTATCTACTAAAAAAGGAAGGGCAAATTAGAGTATGACAAAACTTAGTACTGACTCCACTGTTACGAAATTGAGGTATAGTTGATTGATGGTGTAAATAAGTATTAAAAAGAGATCCAAGGATTAGATTTTATTGGAACATCTCACTTCTTTTATGATTATGTTACAACCGTCTTTCTGATAACCTTGAAGCTTGTTATAAGATAAATAAAAATCAATCCCCTGTTCTCGTGCAATAGTATCTCATTAGACTAAATTTTCATTACTACAATAATAAAAGTATCCAAAAACAAATTTTAGCAATGAGATATTATTTTATTTAAATAAACCAGAAGAAAATTAACTACAAAAAATAAACAATAGTACAATACTATTTGCAAATACAATTAATGGATAGACTTGAAATTTATTAGCAAGAGAAGGTATATACGATTTTTATTTTGAGATTCATCTTTAATGGACAATAAATTTATGAAGAAAAGATCAAGATGATATATTATATGAATGTGAACGTTTGGATTAATATTTATTGAACTCTTTAAATTCTCAGTAAACAGAATAATAAATGATTAATGTGTGATGACTTGACATATAGTTGTTTATTTATCTTTTATTAGAAGGTGAATTTATTTTGCATAAAATATTATAGATTTAATCTTCAATTAAGGGAATAATGTTATTTAAATTTTATATTATTTATAGATTTAATAATCCAGAAGAATAGTTAGAAAGGAGTTAAAGATGTTATAAAAATACTATAGTGTGGATGTACACTACACCAAGAAGTTACACTCATTATCTCCATTAATTTCTTTCTTTATTAAAATAATCATAACCTCCAACTTTATAACCATTATTCATGTGACCTTTCAATTTCACAATCTCCTCCATTATATTCATGTTAATGTCATGTTTATGACTTTGTATAACTCTATGTTACACTATAAATTGAGGCATAAGGGTTCATGTTGCACACACTTGAAGATTTGATGAATACGTTGAAGAACACGAACTGTTCTCATCTTTTGTCTCCCTATTTGTATTGTTTTATCTTTTATATTCCTTGTCTTATTTAGTTTTAGTTTTACAAGATGTTATCAGCACGAGTTTCTTATTCTCTGTCAAGAATCAATGTTATGTTTTCTTGATTTTTATGAATTATCCTAGTAATTCTTTGGTTACAAGGTATACTTTATATCCTATATATTATTTGTACTAACAAAAGTTGATTGTGATTATTTAAAATGGTTAGTAAATTATGATAATCTACATAACAATATTGTGAGGTACAATTTTTCCTGGTAAGGTTTTAATGAGGCACATTATCAATTGACATCCAAGGGGGAGTGCTATAAAATATTATAGTGTGGATATCCACTACACCAAGAAGTTACACCCATTATCTCCATCATTTTCTTCCATTTTAAGATAGCTATAACCTCCAACTTTATAACCATTATTCATGTGACCTTCCAATTTCATAACGTCCTCCATTATATTCATGTTAATGTCTTGATTATGACATTGTATGCCTCTATGTTACACTATAAATAGAGACATAGGGGTTCATATTGCACACACTTGAAGATTTGATGAATACTTTGAAGAATAAGAAATGTTCTCATCTTTTGTCTCCCTATTTATATTGATTTATCTTTTATATTCCTTGTATTATTTTGCTTTAGTTTTAGAGACTTTTTTTCATTTATTGTTATTTAAGTATAAATATAAATAGATAGAGGTTTTTTTTGTAACTCGATATGATAAGAATAATAAATATGATTGACTTTTCTTTTTAATAAATATAATATTTAATGAAAATAATTAATAAAAAAATCTCAAAAATAAAGAGGAAAAAAGATGAACTTGAACGGAGGCCACATAGAGGTGTACATCACCTTTACTATGTTCCTCCTTTATATTAAATATAGATATAAATATAGATATAGATATAGATATAGATTTGGGTGATTTAGTATTATACTCAAGTCTTCCTACTTTTAGTATAATATGATATAATATTTAATTAGTTATGTATATTACAATATTTTGATTTAGTGTAGGCGTTATTTAAACAAAAAATAAAAAATATATTATCATTTAATATTTAATTAATTAGATGTTTAATTAATTAATTAGATAAAAACAATTCATCATAACTTATAATTTAATTAATGATTATTCATTTTTTTCTTATAAATAACTTACGTTTCAAAAAATAATGAATACTCTCTCCGTCTCATTTTATATTTCATGTTTTTACTTTGAAATTGTATTAAGAAAAAATGTGATTTTACCCTTCTACTCTTATGCAATGTTTTCTTAAGTCAACTTTATAATAAATGATTAATACATACAAGATTAATTAACTACTCTGTCAAGGGTAAGGTATACAAAATATGATAATTTATGCATCAATTTTATAAAATGAAAGTATTGTGGTTCAGTTATTCATAGAAAGGGATGAAATATAAAATAGGACGGAGGGAGTATATTATTATTTTAAATATTTAATTAGTTAGATATTTAATTTAGTCTAGGAGTAAAATGGTAGTTCAACTTTTTACACTCCTTCTATCCAACAATACTACATTTCTTAAGAAATTATGAATAGAGAGTAATTTTACTATATCACCCTCTGAATATAATAAATTCATTGTCTTGAAAAATATAATC